CCACCACGCCCAGCCCCAATGTTTTGTATCTTTAGTAGTGATGGGGTTTCATCATGTTGGCCAGGCTGTTCTGGAACTCCTGACCTCATAATCTGCCCGCCTCAGTCTCCCAAAGTGCTGGGATTACAGGTGTGAGCCACGGTGCCTGGCCCCAAAAAAACCCATTTCTAATCTTCATTTTGCTACTTAAGAAAGCCTCTGTTATTGCTTGAGCTATGGCTAATAGAAGCATTTGTAGTGGCTACAATAGGGAATATGGACTCCCTGACTAATACTAGCTGACCACCCCTGGTGTATAAAGTCCTAAGTGGGGTCATTTACAGCTCTTAACACAACATATTCCTCCTTCACCACTTCCTCCTCTATCTTTGCTGAAAGTAAATTACAGGCCTCATCATACCACATAGTATGATCACAGATATTGACATATCTAAAGCAGCAATGAGAAGAGTGAAAACCTAGAAACCTAGGGAGAGAATACAGAAGGCCAGGCTGCCAAAGCCCATCTAAGCAATTTTTGGAACAAAGAATCTTGGTCAGAAAGAGAGCTTCAAAAATGATAGTCAGGATGGAGGCTCCAGTTATTCTAACTAGCACCTTTGATCAGTGGGAATTGATTTGATTTCTTACCTAGCCATCTTCCCATTGTAATTGTGCTTCCTACGATTGAAAGCAGGTCTGTGGTCTGACCACAGAGAGAATGTAGATGTGTGCCTTTTAACTCCATGAGACACTTACATTGCTGATTGTTAATAAGGGGACATTTTGACTTTATTATTATTATTATTTTATTTATATATTTTTTTGAGACAGAGTTTCACTCTTGTTGCCCAGGCTACAGTGCAATGGATCTCGGCTTGCTGCAACTTCTGCCTCCTGGGTTCAAGTGATTCTTCTGCCTCAGCCTCCTAAATAGCTGGGATTACAGGTGTGCACCACCACGCCCGGCTAATTTTTGTATTTTTAGTAGAGATGGGGTTTCGCCATATTGGCCAGGCTGGTCTCGACCTCCTGACCTTGTGATCCATCCATCTCAGCCTCCCAAAGTGCTGGGATTACAGGCATGAGCCATTGCGCCCGGCCCACCTCAGAGTATTTTCACAAAAAGAAAAGTTCCTACTAACTTTTAAGTCAGCCAAGGGCATTGCTTAATTAAAAGAGTTGAATTTCATGTTTGTTGCATACTATTGGGGTTGTAGGTAGTGAAAAAGAGTGTTTGCCTCTTCATAGAACAAAGAGCTTATTGTTTAATATGATTACACGATACCATCTTTCTGAGCTAACCCTGATTTTAGTCCTTACAGGACTATAAATGTCCAGTTTCTGCATTTGCTATAGATGTCCACATTTCTGGCAGACACTGAAAGATTTGGAAAATGATTATACTTTATACACAAATCACTCAAGCATACTGATGGCAGGCTATGGAGTGTACTATTAGATTGGCACACACCAGGGTGCCAGCTCTAACAGAAAGAGGATTTTAAAAATAAAAGCTGTTCTCATGTATATACTATTGGGAGAGAGCATGTGCATTTCAAAAATTCAAATATGTATATTGTATATTTCGGAGTATTGGCATTCATTAATTTTTTTTCTGATATATTTCCCAAAGTCTCACCTATAATTATAGACTTTCAAGGACATGGAAACAACATTCATACAGAGACAATGGTAAAGAAAAATACAAAATACACATGGATTTAGGCTTTATTGAAATTCAGGGGACCAGGTATGGTAGCATATGTCTGTAATTCCAGCACTTTGGGAGGTCAAGGGAGGAGGGTTGCTTGAGACCAGGAGTTCAAGACCAACCTGTGCAACATAGGGAGACCCCATCTCTACAAAAAATAAAAAATTAGCCTTAGCCATGTGTGGTGGTGCGTGCCTGTACTTGGGAGGCTGAGGCAGGAGGATTGTTTGAGCCTGGGAGGTTGAGGGTGCAGTGAGCTATGATCATGCCAGTGCATTCCAGGCTAGGTGAGAGAGCAAGACCCTGTCTCAAAAAAGAAAAAGAAAAAGAAAAAGTCACTATATAGAACCTCAAGTTTTTTTTTGGAGAAACTATGTCTGACTTGAAATATTATCCTTTTTCACCAGTGTTTTCCAAAGTTGGTTTGAGAACCATCATTTCAAATTCTCCTGGAATGATAAATACAGATTCCAGGTGCCCCTCCAATGTCTCATTTGGAGAAAACTGCCATTTTTAGGGACATTTGGTCTTCCTTCCATGAATACAGAGTTAAAAAAAAATGAACACCAGCCGGGCACCATGGCTCACGCCTGTAATCCCAGCACTTTGGGAGGCTGAGGCGGGCGGATCATGAGGTCAAGAGATCGAGACCATCCTGGCCAACATGGTGAAACCTCATCTCTACTAAAAAAATACAAAAATTAGCTGGGCATGGT